AAGCCTATATGGCAAATAATCTCATTACACTTTATGTGCAAATATAATATAATAAGTATAAACAAGTAAACTAATCCTGCTATAATTTGTCTTTAACAAAAATGGGAATTGAAAAAATTTTGTTTCAAAAGAAACTGGCACAGCTGTTTTAAATTCTCTTGTTCATTGTTTTTAAGTTTTATAGTTTTCTACAATTTAAATTACATCATGAAGTCTTTTCTGGGTGAAAATCTCCAAACAAACATTTTTGGTTTTCTCTTCAAATATTATATAAGACTCACTTGAGTGCCTGGTTCAAATTACAATCCAGAAAACCTGTCAGTTTGCCATTACAGTCTAGAAATACATCAGAAACTCTAAAAGCTAGTACTCATAATAAAGCTACAGAAATTAAAGCTTACTATTTAAATACGCTGGTAAGTGCATGCCTTGTAACCCTTGTACAAAAGGTAATCAGCCACCACCTAAATTGTCAAAATGTGTACCTGGTTTCACTTAACTTCTCTACTTGCTGCTCAAGGTGGAGGGTGGGTGGGTGTTGTACGGTTATTAATAAAACCTGCTGTACTTACATAAATATTACCGGACAAATTGAAGGAGATTTTAAAAATTTTATGACAGGGCTAGGTGGCTCCATGGTTTTACACAAGGAGCCTCGACTGCAAACACCTATTAAAAACCATATGCCCTTATCTGCTTGGATTGTTCCTTTTATTGGGCCTATTGTAATGATTATAATCCTGCTAATTTTTGGTCCATGTCTTTTTAACTACCTGGTTAAATTTCTTTCTTCCAGAAATCAGTAATATTATGCCCACACAATGGTAATGCAAGGATGCCAGCTGGTGCCTGCAAACGATGCCTCTGTTAAAACAGATCTGGACACTTTAGATCAGACTGGGAGAGGTTTTTGATCTCTGGCTAGGCAGGACCACGCCCATTGCCAGCATTGAAGAAAAGACAGAAGACTGATCTTCACCCCTCAGCACCCCATATGATTATGGGATAAAAAATCTCTAAGGGAGAATTTGAGGCAGGTTAGACAAAGATAGATAAATTTCCCATAGGCAGGTTTCAGGAAGCATTCAGACATTCGTAAAATTACATTTTACTGCAGGCCAAGCTGGCAGTCTACCCCATCCCCTCAGCAAATCAAAAGAAAACTCCATCAGATGCAAGAATAGGACAGCCCAACCTTCCAATTCATGGTTTAGCATAATACTCTCTAAGAAACTTTCAGGTTCCCTGTGAAAGGTGGAAGGTCAAATATTACCCTTAACTGACCAAAACCATAGAAATGACAATGAGACCACCTTTTAGCTAAGGAAGCTGTAAAGTGGAAATGTCTGGCAGGTCTCCTGCAAAAGACAATGTGGTCAGGAAAAAACACCCCTCCTCCCCTTGTCTTCTATCATCAGGAGCCCAGAGGTGTCAAGCCTCCAGAGTGATGGTAACCTAAGCGCCATCCTTTTTTTAGCATATCATTCATTGTGAAGGTATATCAGATATATTGTAAAAGGCAAAAAATGTGGTTTCTTTTGCCCATGCCAACTCTGGCAAGTCTCCATTCCTTTTCTCCCTTCTTTCTCTAATAAACTTTGTTTTAAAACTAAAAAAAATTAGAGCTATACCTTATTACACAGAATGTTTTCCATGAGTTATTCCTTAGTGAGGAAAACAAGAACCAGAGGAATGTATAATATAGTTGTATAACACGGTATAATCTTAATTTTTGCAAGACACCCATCCCTACATGCTAGAGAAAAATGTCCCTTAATATTCTATTTATTCCTACATAATGGAAGAAAATATATTTTCAAATCATATCTGACAAAGGTCTAGTATCCAGAATACATAAAGGACTCATAACTCAAAACAAAAAGACAAACAACTCAATTTAAAAAGTGTAAATGATTCAATAGACATTTCTCCAAAGAAACTAAGCAAATGGCCAACAAATACATGAAAAGATGTTCAACATCAACCATCATTAGAGAAATGAAAATCAAAGCCATAATGAAATACCACTTCCATTGATACAGGCTGCCCACATTCCTTGGCTTCAGCAGTAGCACATTAAATCCTTCTCATCCTTCAAATCTGACTTCTTCTTCTGCTACCAGCAGGAGAAAATTATCTGTTTTTAAAGGGCTTATATGATCAGACTTGACCCTTTTGATAATCTCATGTTTGCCATAAAATGTAACATAATCACAGAAGTATTATCAAGTTCACAAGTTCCACCTCACACTTAAAGGGCAAGGGTCATTGAGGGTCATTCTTAGAATTCTGCCTATCACAATGGAGAAAAATAGTAAGAAAACATTTTCTACCCATTCAAGAACAATTATTATTTGTTTACACCTAACATCATTGCAAAGAGGATTTGTGGTGCCTACATGATTTATACCAAGGAAAAGTTATAAAACTGTAAATGAGTGATTTACAGATTAACACAGTTCAGATCTCCAAGCCTCAAGGAAGGAAGGGAAAGCTCTTCTACTAAAGCACTGAATGTAAATGCAAAGCAATAGTCAAGAGGACCACCTATGTTGTCTCTGTAGTCATGATAAGAAGGGAAAACTATGGTTGGAATTTAGGGGACTACTGAATTGCATTATGAAGATTAGAAGTTCTTAAACTTATTGGTCTGAGGACCCTTGTAATTGAGGACCCTAAAGAACTTTAGTTCTTGTGGGTTACACCTATTAATAATTGCCATATTATAAATTAAAACTGGAAAATTTCTTAAATTACAAGAATATATAAGCACACATTCTTTTAACCTATGGAGTGATGATGTCATCACACATGTAGCCTCTGGAATGAAAAAGGAAATAAAGCTTGAGTATGATTATGAAAGTAATTTTGGGCCAGGCACAGTGACTCAAGTTTGTAATCCCAGTACTTTGGTAGGCCCAGTCGAGAGGATTGCCTGAGCCGAGGGATTAGAGACCAGCCTGGGCAACTTGATGAGACCTCGTCTTTACAATAAATCAAAAAATTAGCCGGACATGGTGGCACATACCTTTAGTTCCAGCTACTTGGAAGGTTGGGGTGAAAGGATCACCTGAGCCCAGCAGGTTGAGGCTGTGGTGGCCGGGAGTGTGCCACTGCACTCCAGCCTGGGTGACAGAATGAGACTCTAACTAAAAAACAAAAACAAAAAAACGCCGGGCGTGGTGGCTCAAGCCTGTAATCCCAGCACTTTGGGAGGTCGAGGTGTGGGAACTGCCTGAGCCCAAGGGGTTCGAGAATAGCCTGGGCAACTTGGTGAGACCTCATCTCTGCAATAACTCAAAAAATTAGCTGGGCATGATAGCGTGCACCTGTAGTTCCGGCTACTTGGAAGGCTAAGGCGGAAGGATCACCTGAGCCTAGCAGGTTGATGCTGGGGTTGCCGTGAGTGTGCCACTGCACTCCAGCCTTTGCGACGGAGCGAGACTACAACTCAAAAAAAAAAAAAAAAAAAGGAAAGAAAGAAAAGAAAAAGAAAATAATTTTGCCCTCACAAAACCTCTGAAAGGGTCCCAAGGATCCCCAGGGCTTCCTGGACCACACTTCGAGATTGAGAGATGTCAATACCATCAACTGTATTTCTTCACAGATTTGTCACCTCACATACTTAAATGCATTCACTTGTGCACTTTTTAGAAACAAATATTTCCCTTTATAGTATTTTGCTCCATCTGGTAGACTCATTTCTGTTGCTGATGCTTGCAAAATGTGTCATTTACTACCACAGGAGGAAAACTGAGCTAGATGGATCATAACATACACACATAGCAAACATACCTAGCAAACAGTTCAAAAATGTTTCCACAAGCTTCTGGCAAGATCTGTCGATTTGTTACTCTACAAATACCGCACAGGCAAAATGGTTTTAAATATCGCAGCTTTGTCTGCAGTGGAAGGATTAGAACAGTCAGGCCGAGTCAGACAGAAAAAGGCACACAGGGGGAAAAAGCGCTGCGGATTCTTTTCATGCTTTGACCTTGAAAACTATGTCAAGACATCTTTTTGGTTTTTAAATGAAGAGATCAATCATATTTCGTGATTGCTTTAATGACCCAGGATTTTCCACTTTCCTTTTACCCATGAGTTACACCGTATAAATGTCTAGTTGCTTTTTTTGTGTGTATTCTGCTCGCAAAAAGTGAAGAGATGAAGCTAAAACCCTTTAATTGGGACTCCATTATGGTTCTTCTATCAAGTAACCAGCTGGATCATCATCACTTTCTTGGATTCGGTCTCTCGGTAAACGCCCCGAGCACTTAGATCCTGCGCTTCCAGAGTCTATGCAGACGGATACAATTTAAAATACGAAAGCCGCTGGAGGAAAGGTTCGGCCCTCCCCGCCCCGAGGTTCAATCTGCCTGGCCTGGGTCACGAAGTCTCGCACCGGCGCGGTCTTCCCGGCGAGGGACCAGGCCCACAGACGCCCTCCGGACAGGTGAGGTGAGCGGCATCCTGGAAGGTGACACCAACGACGGCTCGCCGCTGACCATCGTGGCGCCGCGACTCCCCTCCGCTTTCCCGGTCCCGCGAGTCATACGCGCCCGGATACGTCAGCGTCTGGCGTGAACCACCAGCCAATGGGCAATCGGCCACATTCCCTGTGCCCGCTGTGATTGGCTTCCAGTCCGGAGGCGGGACGGAGGGCGGGCCTCAGGGCGTATCTCGTCGAGGCCTCGCTGCCAGACAGCGACACGTGAGGCGTCCGTTCGCGGGAGGGCGGGCTGCGGTCGCTGTGGCCCCAGACGGAGCAGCCGGCCCGGGCGGCAGGAGGCGCCGCCACCGTGCCTGAACCTCGCTCTAGTTGGCATAGGCGAAGGAGGGGGCCGGGCCGGGTC